TCTTCTTCATCCTCGGTGCCTTCCTCGATGGCCCGCCAAAGCTTGCGCGCACGCAACTTGACCTTCATCAGCACCGCCCACTCGCCGTAGTTTGTGCGTGTGAGGACCGGCTAGTTGGCCCCGCCAACATCTCGCACGGTCCTGTGGATGATGAACTCTTGACGCGGTGAAGCGTTTGCTCCGCTCCCTTGCACCATCGACGCAACATCTTGGCTTGCCATGGCTCTGATGCCACTTGTTAGTCCCTGGTCGTTCACTGTTCAGCTAAGCAAAAATGCTTCCGGCACAAAAGAACACTTCTAGGATGAAAGAAGAAGATTGTGAAACTCAATGTATTGAGTATTCAGTTTTTATGTGTGTTTACAAATGAAAAACTACATCCCTATTTATAAGAACTAAAAACAATTATTCTAGTGGCTTTCCTAGAAATTTCTTGAGCTGAAAAATCAGCCTAAAATGGCTGCTATGAAAGTGCCATGAAAGTGCAATGAAAGTGTAATGAAAGTGCAAGGAAGTTGCACTTTACTAACAAGAAACTGCAGGATTATATCTTACATTAATGAACACATAAGTTGACTGGATAGGCCACTGTTCTACTGGAGGCTTAAGTTTCGTTTCGAATGAAGAACCTGCACTTATATTGGGTGGTGATTCCAATGATTCATCTCCAGTTAAATGTGTTTCCACATGTAAATGTACATCTATCCAAATGATAATGGAATCTGACACGTACATGTTCTTGGATTACAATTAGTTATTTAGAATATTTTTTTGTAGAATTATATCAACAAATCTACATTTGTGTGTGTATGTATCTCCCTTTTTCAGTCAGCTGCGTAACAGGCAAACACGTGATTGTAATAAGATTAATTTAATTTGAGTTTCCATATTTCAAATCTAGACTAGTGAAGTTCTCATTTATTGCATATTAGGGAAATTCTCATTTATTGCATATTAGGGAAAATGTGGTCTTCAGTTGACTTGGCTGTGTAGCTTGTTATAACTAGTTATAAGATGCCGTAGCTGTCTTCTGTTGCAAATGGCGTACTCTCTTGTGGTCAGAAATCTAAATTATTTATTCTTTAATATGTATGTCTAAGGCTGCTAATCTGGTCTTATCCTTTTTTCCGAATATGTATGTCTGGTGCAGACGTGACGCGACATGTGTGCTTTGCCAACATTTATCTTCAGTTTTGTACTTTTTGCATAACATGGTTTCCTCTCCCTTGAATTTTCATTTAGTTAATGGCTTGTTGCTGTTTCTTTAACCTGCTTTGCCAACATGTGTTCCAGTTCGTGTTTGCGAACAAATCTTATTTTACTCTTGCTCATTCTCGGTACTGCAGGAATGGGGTGATCCTCGCAAAGAAGAGTTTTACTTTTATATGAAGTCTTATTCCCCAGTTGATAATGTAAGTACTAGAACATTTTTTTGTGACATTTCTATGTGGTGACGGCGACAGTCTTACTTTCAGTTCTATAGTTTTCAATTTTTCTTTTAATTAGTTCTCTACTTTTTTACAGATCGCGGCACAAAAATATCCTGCTATTCTTGTAACCGCAGGACTAAATGGTAAGTGAAAGAGCACATATTTGTAACTTTTTTGTCCCCATTCCTCTGTGAGTCAGGGAGTGGGTAATTGTCTTTCTTGTGCTTGCATGGATGGTGTTAGTCCCTGCTCGTTCACTGCTCAGGTAAGCAAAAAATGCTTCCGGTACAAACGAACACTTTTAGGATGAAAGAAGAAGATTGTGAACAACTCAATGTATTGAGTATTAAGCTTTTCTGTGTATTTTCAAGACAAAAACTGCACCCCTATTTATAAGAACTAAAAACAACTATCTAGTGACTTTCCTAGAAATTACTTAAGTTGAAAAGTCCTAAAAATCATCCTAAAATGGCTGCTATGAAAGTGCTTTGCAGCTGCAAGGAAAGTGTAATGAAATTGCAAGGAAACATCAGATTATATTTCTTACAATTCTTCCCCTAATCCTGCTGTTCTTGCTTGTTTCCCACCATTCCAATCTTGGTCCTTAGCTCCATGAACCGAAGACAGCCGAGTGGCTTAGTAAGGATG